GGAAAGAGCTCCATGAAACCCCAGTAGGCAGGGACTACGACCCTTCTCAACAGGAAGCAGATACGGAAGAAGAGACCTCCTGTCCCTCAACATCCATACTAATAATAAGGGGGTTCATGGCTCTTAGAAAAGAGGTAGGCAGGAAAGTTAGAGGGTTTCGGGTCGGCCTGGAAAGACTGAGGTCATCCTATCTCAGAAGGGGTCTGCCCTAATCCACCCACAATTAAGGAAGGCAGAAACAAATAAGCAGAGACTAAGGTACCAGTTTAAGCCAGTCACTGGCACCTGCGCAATGAAGACCCACCCACAAGACCTCCAACTCACCTGAGCCTCATTATACCATCATTATAATATGATGCATATGCCCGGAAGTCATTAATATCATTGTAACGGACTGAAGTCTGGGAACAAACATGCGCAGAAAGCAAAATGATGAATCACTGAGTCCTGTCAATCTTAGCTGTCAATCAAGGAAGCCCACCCTAAGTAACCACCCACAGCAAAAAAGGCATAAAAACCCTGAAGTCTTTGTTACCAGGCCTTTCGAGCCACGCTTCTCTTGCTCGGGCCTGCTTCCACATCTGGAAGTGTACTTTCTGTCCTAATAAAAGCTTTCTTTCCTACTGTATTTCGGTGTCTTGCTCAATTCTTTGTTCGAGACATAAAGACCCTGGACAAGGCGCCGGGAGAGGACCCCACTCTCCAGTAACAACTCCATTTCAGCAGTATCATCCTGAAGTGCTTCCTCTTTGACGTCTTCAACACCAACACCACACTTGGGTGACAACTCACCAGTTTCTTCATTCCCATGGGCCCTTGTCTTTGGTTCCTCTTTTCTCTTTCTCCCAGTCTATCCGCTCCCTGCTGCTCGTTCCTCTGTGGGCTATTAACTACCTCTGGTGTATTAACCGCGATCACATTCTTTCAGTGCCCTCAACTTTCTCACTCTCTCGTCTTTCTGTTCTACTCAAACAGCAAACTATTGTTTTATCATAAATGTCTATGTATACCTACCTGTAGATATCTTATAAAATTATATCTGGATCTCATTGCACAATTACGATTTTTAAACTCCACTAGGTGTTCCATGACACTTGTCTAACTTGGCACTCTAGTGAGTTATACTAGTTATTCAAAATTTTCAACACTATTCTACTTCAATTTCACTCCAAGCCCTTCTATTCCTTAGAGCCTTTGTCGTTCAGTGGTTTGTGTGTGTACTTCCCTCAGCCTTAACCACCTCCTTTCCCATCCTCCAAAAATATTCTTAAGAAGTTACTCGGTGAAGCCTTGATTGTCCACCCTCTGTATTTTTTTTTTCTATAGGAAAGTTCTAGGAACTTTACTGATTCCAGCAGACCCGTAGACCCTCTCAGACTCGGAGCCCCTCAAAGGCAGGCGCCCTGATTTATTTTGGTCGTTTCTTCGCTCCTGTAGTTCCTTGAGCGCTGCAGGGGACCCACAAACGTCTGTGACAGTGAGGTTCTTTACAGTGGTGAGAACAGGACCAGACGACCCAAGCAAGGGGCTCGGTGTGCCGAGGGGCCGGGACTTGGCGGGAACGTGGCATTCACCTGGGTCCCCGAAGGGCCTTTGCTAAGTGAGCCGCGGAGGGGAGGAGCAGCCCTCGGGTAGTGCGCGGCCTGGGGCCAAGTGCGTCCAGGGCAGAGGGTGACGGGAAGCTGTGCCGGAGGAGTCACTTTTTAGAAGCTGGTTTTGTTGCGTTGCACAACCCCGGGTGCAAACCCAAGCTCACCGGCGTGAGTCAGCTGGGCCGGCAGCCGCAGGAGAGGAAAAGGTGGGCGACGAGGGCGCCGCGCACCCCGAGGCCTGCGCCGACGGCGGGAAGGACCCGTGGGCGACTCGAGACACCTCTAGCGGCGGCCCCCTCCCAAGTCCCACAGGTGAGCGCGGGCGGGCCGCAGGGCGGATCCCGTTGTCCCCACCCGCCACCCTCCCGGCGCCACCACCACCGCGCAGGTAACCCCCGCCCGACCCTTCCC